ATCGATTTATTTAGTCAATTATGGTTGATGCATGCGGGGGTGGGGGGTGGGGTGAGTGCGGAAAATTGCATGCATTTGGCATGTAAACTGAATTTCGGCCATTGTAAATGAGGGGCTGCCTGAAATTCCTCTGCGCTCACAGGACTGACTGGCGTAACCTGATTGCGGTTAGTTCTGCTGTTGCCAGTAAACGCTGACCCAGTGATTTTTGGTATGTGGATGGAACCTTAGAAATGACTCGGAAGGATTCAGTGGTATCCACGTGATAAGCGGAATCAACCACATATTTTAGTATTGCATTGATTGTGTTCCTCATTTCGCCCCCTTTTTAGTCCTGCCCGGAGGTGCTCGTGTATCATTTTGGATAGATGTCGATTCGTATGACCAGTATGACTTGCCACAAAAGGGACAAATAAAAGCCGCAATGCGCATTGATGTTGTCTGTGAATAATACCCAAAGTCGTTCGTCTGAGGCGGTTACTGAAGCGGTCTGTTCAAATAATCCTCTCAGAAGTTCATTCGGTGCGTCTTCCCGAAAAGAAGATTTTAGAATTTTAGAAATTTTCTTTCAGTTGTGAGTACAGTGGGTTTTGTTAATTGCTTTATTGAAATCCCTTGCAGTAAATCGATTAGGATACCCCTTCAAGCGAATCAGTTTTAGATATTTCCAAGCTCCTCCTCCATGCTTTCTGTCAAATAGTTTTTTTCTAGTCCTTTGTTTCAAAGAACAGAACAGATTACGTTTCTGGCTTAGGGGTAAGAAATTGCCGAAACTCGCATATTGATGAGGTCAGGTGTTCTTCCGATAGATGCTATGTTTGCCTAGGGGGACGTCCAGGAAAGGGAGCTAACCTGACACTCATCTGCAACGTGAATCTGATTGGCTGCATTTAGGTTTGTTGCATTGGTTTATGGAAGTTCAATTACGGATAAATTATCAACATGGCGGCCGTATTGCTTTAGTTTATTACTTTGGTCGTTTGGTTGAAATTTCTGCAGATTGTCCATGAATTAATTGGCTGGGAAAAAAGCAGAAGGCGAGGCCATAGCAACTGCATTTCTGCAATCAGTTTGCAGATAAAAAGGAACTGTGTGTTTGATTTGTATCCTAGTTATAATCATCTTAGTACGCTTTTCGGTATTCGTATTTCCTGAGGGTTGGTAAATAGAAACGCGGAGAGGCAATCGACTGCTTCGGTGACCGATTCGTTTGTAACGAGTGATGAGACGTTTTTTGGGTTAGATGGTAGTTGATAGCCCTCCCGGTACCGAAAACTCCCAGCTACCCGACTTACGGGACCGGTGGTAATAGGGGCTATACGGGTGGGGCAAATGAGTGGAGGCGTAAATGGCGCTTGTAGGGAATGCCTGGAATTGACGATTCGGATAAAGTGGAAACCTAATTTAAATAAGGTGAAAAATGCGGTTAAGGTAAACACTTCGGATCTGACTGACGTATGAGACGCCTTGCTGTTGTAGTCTGAACCCAAGAGGTAGTAAGTGCGCGATGTCGTAGGTGAAGTGCGCCCAGTTCAAACCCAGCAATGTCGAAGCGCCCGGGAGGGGGAGTGCCATGGTGCCTTAAACTGGAAGTGCAGGAAAGGTTCGCTAACTGGCCATGGCGGTGTTTACAAGGCGTCACAGTTTTCAGCCAAACCCCTGCGACCAAATACAACCGGGCTGTTCGTAAGGGCGGGGGATGGAGGGCAACACTCTGTCAATACCACTGATGCAGTGGATGGAGTATCGGTAGACACCCTAGCTGCGCGTCGGATGTCCTTTTGTACACGATCGCACCGGACTCTAGTGGAGGTCTGGAGTAAAAAGACCCAAGGATGCAGGCAAACCGACGAAACGGAGACCCGCGCCAATCCTCCTAGGATAGTACCTATGCAATTAATCTGATGCAGGTAATACTGTGCGCACATGCAACTAGAAGCATAATGGGAAGCATGATGAATCATAATCCGTTTAGGATAAATCTTTCACCTTTTACTAAAGATTTCCGTGTGGGGGTGCAATGCAATGAGTCTATATAGACAGTCTTGCAGCGCCTCGTTCTCGGGGCGGTTAAAGTGAAGAAGAAAGTCATCCTGACAGGGCCTCTGTGCGTGCACCCCCCAGACATAATGAGAACGTTATCACAGATACCGAAATCGAGCCAGTAGGTACAATTGTAGAATCAGTGGTCAGGGCTACCAACTACCATCCTGCCGTTTTTTGAAACCACATCCATTCCGTTTATATCGAAACATTTGACGCCATCAAGGAAGTTGAAGTTATCTCGCCAAAAATGCAGTGCCAGCTGATATTGTTCGGGCATGAGTTTCGCGGCCAATCATTCTGTTATCGCATTCTGCGGGGAATTTCGCATATCCGGAATTGAAGAAACTTGCAGATGGTCATTGTGGAATGTGGGTAGCCTATGCAAACGAATGATGCTTGTGCCGACTGGTCGAGAATGATTCAGGTTCTGGTTGTTTATTAAACCACCTGTTTGGAGTCTTTTCAGACCGTCGCTCATTTATATATTGACCTCGTCTTCCGGAATTTCCTCTTCTGTAGTCTTTTCCTGGCTTATAGTTCGTGTCATCAAGCGACATGTCACCTTCACCGAAGCTGTCTCATACTAGCTCTTTGATGGATCCATCCAAAGCCGGCGTTCAGGAAGCAGTTTTGTGGTTCTCTGTGATTTGTGTCTACAGTCTTTTGATTTATAATGGCTTATTTGCCGCTAAGCTCAGTCTTCACCCCTGAACTACGTCCCAAATCATCTCGGCTGTGGTCAGAAATGTGAGTGGTCTTCGCCAGTGGTCAGGCTAAGGAATACGAAGGCCTCACGCTAAATCCTCTGGGGGTACCTATTCACATTTCGTCACTCAACCCTATCACAAACTCCTATAACCGTAATCCTAGCCCTCCCCGTGGACTTTATGGTGGCTTCGCTTGTAATCCGTATTCCCGCGCCCAGTCTACTCCGCAGATTTGCGCTTGCGCTTTGACTTGCAATCGAGGGTCCGTGGTCCTCATAGGCGGTTGCATGACGCGGGCAGTCATTCATGAGCCAAAAGTTTAACCGAACTCATTGGGACACTGTAATGAACATTCCCGGTTTATATACTTTCATTGACGTCGGTCAGTGATACCTCAACCCTAAGCTGCATTCCAAGATTTGAACCTGGCATATCGCTTACAGTCCTGGATGCGCGTTAATCCTAGTTTGTTAAAAAAAAAGTCAATCCACTTTTGGCCGGGATTCGCGTTTTGTCCTGACTACGACAGGGATCATGAACGATTCTGCCTTGTCTTGATGACCCCTGTTTCAGATTTCACAGTGGACAGCGTAGCTGTACGCAGTGAATAATCGAGGAAGTTGCTGAAAGAGCAAGGGAGACTGGCATATCCACTTCTGACTTATGTGGCATCAGCCGCGCAGCAGATCCCGTATGTCGTATCTGGACTCCCTTTTTATAAGAAAATTAGGTCAAACGCTTTGCCACAGAGCCAGAAACGGCTATTCCAATCTTATTCATTAGGAGGGAAACGTTTCACGCTAAAATAATTTTTAATAACTCTAAGCAACTTCACTACAACAGGCAGTAAATATTTTCTCAAAGACAGGCCTGGACCGCCGACCTCCACTTGACCTTGAGCGCTCTAATCCCAAGCTACCTGGGCGTGCTCGCCAGTCGTACAAATCGATATTTCTTGACGGGGTTTGCGAGACCGGACTATTTTTCATTGCGCCAATTGTTCTGTCGCGATTACAGTGGCATTTCAGTAGATAGGTAAGAGACTTCGGTACTTTGTGCAATACCTCTGATAATCTGAATAGTCCCGTGACTCGAGATTACCGTTATGAGTACGTTCACCGATCAGGTCAGGGGACGTGTTCCTTCCGACGCGACTTGAGGCTCAATCTACAACCCTCTGCGACTGCTTGCGCGGACGTCCTGTAACCTGATCGGTGAGTACTCTCCCTACGATAGTGAATATTCTCCATCACAACCGACTGGACAACGGGTTCGTGGCGCAATGGTAGAGCGTGGGTCCACTTCTTACCCAATGGATGAAGAATCCGGATTCGATTCCGTTGGTGGACAGATATGGTAAGGTAACCGCACCTGAGGTAACAAAACCCAGCCACCTGTAATACGGAGCCGGTGGTAGTAGGTTATTTTGCAGGTGGGGTTGGGAAACGCACAGGCGACGGGGTCAATTAACAGTATGCAAAAGAAAAGTTGTTGGGAATGCACGGTTGTACTTTGAATGGATGAAAAATAGTTGCCTTACCCCCTAACTATAACCCCTTACCCTAGCCCCTGACCATAACCCCTCACCCGAATCCCAACAGTATTGTGTCCATCAGGTGCGGCTGCATAACCATATCTTACCTCGTAGGTCAACCAGATCTGGAGTTGGGTATGACTGACTGAGGCCAATTAGCAAACCAGAAATGGGAGTCTGATCTACCTATACAACTTGTAGGATTTCTCCTTCAGTGAGTCCAATCGGTGGCCACAAACTATGGCATTGATCGCGTACAAAGTGGCATACAGCATCGCTTCACCTTAGTAGCAACGAAATTCGAGTCGAAGTTTGACTAGCCCAATCACCTCAAGTTTGGCGAATAATTTGTTTCCGGTTGGGCTTGGACTCTCTCCCATCTCACGTGAACAAAATGCGCGTACTGTGACTGGTTTATCCTCCGATAAGATCTCGAGTTGAGTTCGAAATTGCTGGTTTATCCTCCGATAAGATCTCGAGTTGAGCTCGAAATTGCGACTACTTTTGAGCTCGATGCCTGTTCGATCGTTCAGGTTGCCGAGCTCGAAACACTGATGAGAGGATAAAATTATTTTTCTCCCCCTCTTTAGAATTTGCTCAAAACTCCTAGTTCGCAAAGCAGTTTCATTCTGTCCATTTGAATGGGAAGTCAGTCAGTCGTAACGCAATTCAAATTGCGAACCAAACAAAGTGCTTGAAAACAGGCACCACTCATGACTTTCCTAGAACCGGCAGATGATGCTGATGATGATAACGAAGACGATAATGATGATGACGACGATGATGATGATGGTGATGATGGTGGTGGTGGTGGTGGTGGTGATGATGATGATGATGATGATGATGATGATGATGATGATGATGATGATGATGATGATGATGATGATGATGATGATGATGATGATGATGATGATGATGATGATGATGATGATGACGACGACGACGACGACGACGACGACGAGGATGATGATGATGATGATGATGATGATGATGGTGGTGGTGGTGGTGGTGGTGGTGGTGGTGGTTGTGGTGATTATTATTATTATTATTATTATTATTACGGCGAACCAGTCCCTTCTCCCCCTGACACTGACGGTAATTTTGTTTTTCACCTCACCCACCCAGACCCTCCCCCCCCAAACCCCAGTGTAATGACCCGGAAGGAAGGTAGGAAAGGAAGAGAGCCGGTTCGGACGACGAGCACTTTATTGGAAACTTGCGGACACAAGGGGGTTCAAGTGATAAGAAAGGTGCGCTATTTATAGTGGCTCCTGTGAGTTCTAGAACATTCCGACCAATGGCGCATGCGCGATAGCCCCCCGGTGGTAACGTCTTGAATGTTCAACCAGCGATCGATTGGGCCGCGCACGTGCAAAGCCACCACACGTGCTCGGCGCTGCAGTGCATGCCGGTCGACCGTCTAACTTCACGCGTGTCTCATGTCGCCGCCTTGGTCCCCTGTTCAGCGCCTTAGGCCGTGGCCCTACGCTGCTTGTACTCTCCATAACACCCAGTTACAGAAAAACATCTGCATGCCCGCATTGTTTTTTAATCACTTAGATAGCAATATAAATGTATAGGCCTGATAAGAATTTATCGAAAGTTTACGTATGCTTGCCAAATTTTCTTTTGAATTCTTCAATGAAACTTTTCGCATCTCTAAAAGAATTCATTAAATATTTTGGTTTTTCCTTTTATCTGGTCTTATTTACTGATAGGGAATAATGATGGGATCTAACTCTCTGATGGATCATTCTCCTTCCTCTTTTTTGCCTACTCTCGGTCTTATCTCCTTGAGAGCAAAGCTCTAAAACCTCAGCCATTTACTGTCTCGACAATTTACTGATCACCAAAGACGTCCTGAATGGTTTGGGGGCTAGAAACAACTTTCTCGCAACAGACCATGGTGGCAGAAAGTATGTTACATGACGGAACTGGATCTGTAATTATTTACTCTGCTAACAGCACAGATATTAGCTAAAAGACCTGATAAGCGTGTTTCGCCGATCTTGTGCCACTGTCTGACGCAGCTGCGGGGGGTTCGGCTCATTAGTGGGTCTTCCAGCTTTCCCCGTGTGTTTTCTGTTTTGTGAACACTAGTTTCGACTTGTCTGGTTTAATTTCCGAGAAAGTTTGTGCGCAAAATTGGAGTAAATCTCTTGAAACAGACCTCTTGGTGATCACCTACTACTGAATTCCCCTGACTGTGTTTCATCCCCCTGAACTACTGAGGCGTGTTCGCTGTCAGTAAAAATAGGTGCTATTTCTTGCGTGTTACTCGAGGCGAGCCTATCCTCCAGTCTGGAGATACAATGGCAAACAGTGGAGTCCGATAACCCGTCATGCACTTTAAATGTTACTAACGCGTTAATGCCCGGAAATAATCCCAATCTTCGGCTGATGTTATGCGTTCTCTGGTGTCCAATCACGGGTGTTTTACTGCAGGGAAGTCCAGTGCTGAGAAGTCAATTTGAAAAAATTCTCCAAAATGTTTTCCTAGCGTAAAACGAATATTACGCTATAAAACACTGACGGATGAATGGAACATTTCGGTTTGAAGGAGATATACCTAGGATTTTATTTTTAAAGCGTAACGCATCCCCACGCACCGCCTGTTGCTGTTGCCTAGCTAAGACAACCTCAATGACTATGTCGACGGCTGATATACTGTAGGCTGTCTTTGATAAAAAGCACTATTTCGGCCTTTTGTAAGATGACTAACTGCCGATGTACGCTGCTTTGCTTCCCCTTAAAAACCAATTAACGCTCTGTACATATGATTTTTGAAAAGTCACATTACTACTGGCAGTTTTTGGCGACGGTTTTGGTCATTCCTGACCATGCATTCGGTTGACCAAAACGCAAACCACTTAGCCTGGAATTTCGGTAATATCCAGTCGAAAACGGAGAAGAAAGATCTTAACCAATATTTGTCATTGTTGTCTATAACGTCATTACATTCTTTTGATAAAGTTGTGATGTCTCGTTCGTAAAATTTCCTCGAATTGCATGAGAAGCAAGAAACCACCTCATTCGCAACCATTGCCCCAAGTCCATTAAAATTACTCTGCAGAGTATTGGGTAGGCTTAAGAGAAAAAGGTGGACGTAGCGTTTCTTCCCAGATACATTCTCCTAAGAGAACCCTAGTGACTTTTGCGGTGTGTTAACGGATATTATTTTGGTCGAAACGGCCCGGCAACTGAACGGTGCACGGCGGTGAGTGGGGCCGATCCTGGGACTTCAGTCCCCAAGGCACTTCAACGCATGCGTCGCTAGTAATGAATCAGACACGTCCGAGTCTATCACTACACGCTTAACACCGTGGCTTGGAAGATCGCTGACTGCAGATGCAACTCAGACCTCCCTGTCAGCCCAACACACGTGTATGGTTTTTTGTGTGTTGTGCGGGTGGCAGGTCACGTATGCGACACGCGCAGATGGCTGTCAGCCACTCTTAGGGCCAATTTCAATATCAGTAGGTTGACCGGCTCAGACACAGTGGACTGGTAGACAGGAGGGGTAGAGAGAGAATGAGGTCGATTCTGGGGACTCCATCACCACGGCATTCGGTGAATACTTCACCCTGTAAACGATCTGACGCGCTTTTGAACTAGCACGGTCGGCTAAAATTTGTGACTTGAAGGGCTGCCAACTGACGGGACACTTCGGTCCTCCTTTCAGGAAGGAGAGTTAGGCTGGAATGGTTCCTTCTTAATGTGGCCTCTATGGCACTCCCATTCAGCCGTGATCCGTGCCACTCACTTCTTGTTCCCCTGAAACCTTGGCTTTTTTTGCACGGACCAGGCTTGTGTGGCACGCTTAGACGGCCTTTTTAGCCTTTGCAATCAATGTGTCCTGTCCCGCCTCTGGTCCTCTTGACTCTCTCTTGATACCGGGCTCGGTGGGTGACATAGATAGATAGATAGAAAGAGAGAGGAGAGAATACGGTAGATGCAGCTCAAATTTCCGTAAGCTACTTCGCATGCAAGTCACCATCTCTGCAGGGGATTCTGTGGAAGTCTTCTTTCAGAGTAAGCTAATTCACGCGCAATTTGCCAACTCGGTAAGGTGAGGGACCCCATGCATCTGTGACATATAAGGAATACCTACCAGACTTATTTAAGTGAACTTAGGTCCGACGCGATTATGTCGGTTTGGTATTTCGTCGTCCAGGGTTGGATATTCTGTTGTAGACGGTCTAGTGCATTATTTAGAAAGACCTCAGCTCAGGGAGTTGAGAAGCGATCGTTTCAGACACTTAGTGTTCATTTTTTAATTGTCTTGCTTAATTTCGGTTCCTATATTTCAATGCATCAAAATTTTCCGTTTAAAAAACAAAATTTGCCAATTATCTCTACTTATTTTGCCATTCCTCTATGCATGCATAGGCCCCGCCCGTAAAGCTTCCATTACCACCTTTCCTATAAGACAGCCACCTTTGGTTGGCCGTGTGTGTGTGTGTGTGTTTGGAGGCCTTCACCCGATCGTTGCCGCACACGTACCCCCCGTCGACTATTGCGTCTGAGCCCACCTCCAGTCATCTTGACATTATTTGGGCATCAGAGTCCAGTGGTTGGGGGGGGATATAGTGCAAGAGATGCTGTGCAAGTCTGCCTCCCTATAAACTAGTTGAGGCGCGAATGCCCAGTGCTGCGCCCAATCCGTGTCGTCGCTTTCGACGTCTGTGAGGTGGTTCAGGGTGACTCCCAAGCTAGCGCGCTGACCGGTCAAGACGTCTAAGCCGGCGTGAGGACTATTTCTCTCAGGGGTTCGCACAGCAGATATGATTGACCGTAACGCCGTAATGTAAATGCTTCCTCGTGCACGTGTCAAAGTGTTTTGTAAGGGTTGGCAGCATGGCAACTGCAGCTACTATTAGTTTGGCCTTGAAACCCCCACTTTAAAGGGTTTTTTTCGCGTGGGTAAGTTTCCGCGTTTGATACTTCGTTTTCGAAAACTTTGCGGAGCGTATTACAGCCTGAATTGTGCAGATATCACTTTGGCTATTTTAGCAAAGTCCTTCTACCACTTTTGGCCTTTGTCTCAGTGGTAGAGCATTGGACTGCTTTACGTGCAAGGACCGTATAACCCCGGTCCGAACATCAGATGTCACAAACCTGGGGTCGACCGGCTGACGACGGCTAATAATCCAGAAAAGAGCATCTCAGTCTTCCTTGGTTTTGCCGGCACTTCCCCTCTCTGCCTCCGACTGCCTGAGCAACAGGGCATAGCGAGACTACCACGTCGTTTAATCTGATAGGTGAACGCCAAGGACAAGATAGTACCATTCGTGTAAGAATTTGATGCAGTTTTGCTATAGCAGCCCATCGATCATGGCACGTCAGTATTTGCAAAGTGTTAGACAAGGTAATTTTATGAAATATGTATGGACGCCACGACCACAAACTGAAGAAGATGAGTTAGAGAATAATCGCTATCGGTAACTCTGTGGTGAGGTACCAGACTAACTTACCTTTGCCAATTCAGTCCCGTTTTCTTGGCCCAGATTGCTTGTTTGAATGTGACGAGAAACGACACACCTGTATAACCCGCCTTGCTGGCCTGCCTTGCTGTCGCGCTCTGTTGTCAGGTTACTTAACTTTCAGAATCTCTATATTATTCACTACTCAGTTTAACCTGCTGCCTTTAAGGCTAGGAGCTCGTGAGATATAACTTGTTAGTTCGTGAGAACATTACCATCCTCCTCGACTCCTAACCCGGTCACTACGGTTAGAACAATAGCTGCGTTTCTCATAGGCAAAAGGCAACACTTGTTCAAGGAGGTCTAGTGGTCACAACCGAAGGGACGGTGATTCGTTAATAAAGGGTAATTAGACGATAAAGGGAGAGAGAGCTCTGAAGACGAAGATGAAACATCACGGTTGATGGATTATGCGGACTGCGGGCAGGTTGGGTCATGGTAGGTGTAGCGCCCATACGAAATTCTTTCGCGCACAGAAAAGAGAGGACCGGCCAACGTCGATACAGCAACGCACCCTGGCGACGGTAGGAGTAACAGACATCATCCGCGAGCTGAAGATTTTCATGCAGACTCTACATCTATCACATATCCAGGCGGCCCTGGCTAATGCTCTTTTTTGGCTCTTCAAACCTCCCCCACTCCCCCCCCCCCGTCAGTTACCCTAACTGCCATAATCTCGTTAATCACCCAACTAGACTGCGAAATTTTATACGCACAACAAAATTTGACCACTTTTTGACTGCAGTCACATTGTGTTTCACCAGCAGGTCAAACAGTTAACGCAAGGAATCACACATCAATCCCTCATCCAGGAAGCATTTGGAGGTTTGTTTAAATTCCGTTGCAAAAGTTGTTCGGAATCAGCTAATTTTGGTATACGTCATTTAGTTCAGATAAGAAGTATAAGCCAACCTACGACGGTACTTTATGTGAGTGAAACTACCAGAACATCATTATAACAGTTAGTTATGCGGACCCTATCCATCCTGCTGGAAGCTAGTCACGGCACCACACTAGGCTTCAAATCAGAAAATTCCCACATATGCGAATCCAGCTAATTGTTTTAATGACAGGCTGCAAGACGCAGGACTCAGGACTGACAGAACCTGCCTGCCAAAAATAAGCCTGTAGTATAGATTCGTGGGTCGGACTCAAGCGAGGAAAACACAGCAACTTGGGTGAATTTAAAGAGACCTTAGTGTGGACTGCTGCTGCTGCTGCTGCTGCCCAAAGAAACTTGCGGTTAACTCAATCAGAGACGTGTGGTCGCAACTGCATAACAGTACATCCCCTTCACCTCGGCATGGATGAAAGTGGTGTGAGTCACTTCACAATCGACCAGAAGTTTGGCCGACTGTATATCATCGAAATCGTAGAGAAGACATTACAGTAGGTGGGCTGACGCATTAAATGATAATCGAAATTCCGAAATGCGTTTTCGTTTCGAAAAGATTAAGTAGATAGGGTTCCAAAACTAATCAGCCTGCAGCATAATTCTATCAGAATTAAGTTACCTCAGGATTCCAGCTTTCGAACGAACTTCTTGTCGGCTGCATTCAGTAGCAATACTATGTAAAAACTTCCTACTTGGGTAGCATGAATTTTTCTCATTGATTTACGATGCCCTTAAAAATTCAAATATATTTCATGGAAAACAAGCATAAAAATATTCATTCTTTTGCTCATTCAGTAAAAAATTATGTCTTCTTCCAATTTTATACTCGAAGGAGGGATATAATTCGGCTTTAAAAAGTTTCTGATTCCGAGACTTTTAAATACCGTGAAATGGCCGTCCATAAATCGTCATGTCTCTGCATTTACCAATAGGGCTTGTAAAGTTGACAATATGGATCAAATCCACTGCTAAATTTTATGAACCCTAAAGAGAAATGTATGATTTTCCGTACGCAGAAAATGTAGGGCTTGTAGTTTGGAAACCCTGAATGCAAGTATAACAGCAGGTCGGGTTCAAAATTAATGGGGAATTGAGAATTTTTTTGAAAACCGAATTATACTCCTCCTTCGAATATAAAGTTGGAGGGAGACGTAATTTACTACCGAATGAGCAAAAGAATAAATATTTTTATGCATGCTTTCCATGAAATATAATTGGACTTTTAGGGGCATCGAATATCAATGGGAAAATCTCATGCTACTTACAGTGCGTGACCGATCTCATGAAATGTTGGCTGAAATTCTAAAATGCGTTTTCGATTAGGAAGGATTACTTGGTCGCGGTTGTAATAGTGATTACCTTAAGGCATACTCTTATAACATTTCGGACTCGGCAGGATGTCGGCTTTTGAATACACTGCTTTTCAATCTCTTGTACAAACCGTATTCTGTAAAAAATTACCACTTAAGAAGCATGTATTTTTCGCACTGATTTTCGATGGTCTTGCAAATTCAAATATATTTTATAGAAATAACGAACGAAAGTATGCTTTCTTTCGGTCGTTTGATAGAGAATCAGGTCTTCTTTATATTGTATACTTCAAAACGGAGTATAATTAGGTTTTAAAAAGTTTCTAATTATGAGACTTTTTAAGACCGCGAAATGTCCATTCACATAGCATCCTACGTGGCCGTTTACCACTGTTCCTCACGAAATGTACAACATGGTCCGCATCCATTGCAACATTTTATGGACTCTTTATGGTATCTCTTTAATGGTATAGAAAAATATGTGATTTTCATTACGCGGAACGCATGCACCTCGTAGAGTGAAATCGCTAAGCGCTAATGCAACCAATGATCCGGCTCCAAATTATTCGGCAATTAGAAAACTTTTTTAAAACCTAATTATACTCCCTCCTTAAGTATAAATATAAAGAAGACGTAATTCTCTATTGATTGACTAAAAGAAAGCATATTTTTGTTTATGGTTTCTATAAAATATATTTGCATTTCCAAGACCATCGAAAATCAGTGCGAAAAATACATACTTCTTTAGTGCTAATTTTTTACAGAGTACGGTTTCTACAAGAGATTGAAAAGCAGTGTATTCAAAAGTCGACATCCTGCCGAGTCCGAAGTGTTATAAGAGTATGCCTTAAGATAATCACTATTACAACCGCGACCAAGTAATCCTTCCTAATCGAAAACGCATTTTAGAATTTCAGCCAACATTTCATGAGATCGGTCACGCACTGTAAGTAGGAATTTTTTACAGAGCATTGCTTTTGAATGCAACCGACAAGAAGTTCGTTCGACTGAATTAGTATGACATTGAGCTGCACGATGATTAGTTTTACAACCCTACTTAATTAATCTTTTCGAAACGAGAACGTATTTCGGAATTTCAGTTGACATTTCATGAGTTAGCCCACCTTCTGTATTTTCGGCAAAATAACGTTGTCTGTTTCCTTACTTCCACTGCATCAGGGGAGTGTCCCCTCCACGGACGACCATGAAATACGATAAACCCTACGCGAGACAGGGGAGCAAGTACTTCAACGCATCACCCAGCTGGGAGACTCCGCCGCAGAAAAACGACCTACACTTGGTTGCGTAGTCTGCCTTAAACTAAAAGCTAGAAAAGCTAAAACAATGCCCCACAGCCCTTACGACCCCCTTTTCCTGGATGATGAGAGGTTCGATTCAGTCAACCTCGTTCCTCCGTAATACCGACCGGTCAGAATCGGACAGCGGTAACTCACTGTAGTCAGTTTTTGTGTGGTGAGTGTAGTCTATGACCTCTTAGCGTTAGAAGATACCAAACTAGCAGCACAGGTATTAGCTAGAAGCCGAGACATTCGTGTTTCGCCGATATTCCGTCGCTGTATGGCGAGCACACGGGAGTGTTGGGGGAGCGAACCCCTCGCAGCTGTGCCATTCGGCGGTAAAATATCGACAAAACACGAGTGTCCGGGCTTCTAGCTAGTACCTGTGCTGCTAGTATGGTATCCTCTAACGCCAAAATATACTACTGACTGCTTGTCGGCAGTTAATGAATATTACGCCGTTATCCCGCTGTGGCTAATGGACTTTGGCCCAAATATTCATACGTCAAATTTCCGTCTGCACGTATAGGCCTTAGTAAAAACTGATCTACTTCAAGCTTGAGGTTAATTTCTGAGAAAATTAAAAAACAACAGTCTGTGACCTCTGTCAGTCACTTGCGCCAAATCCCCGCATGGGGTGGCTGGTCGCGTTGGGCTGGTAGATAGGAGGGGGAAGGGAGAGTGAGGTCGACTCTGGGGACTCCATCACCACGGCATTCAGTGAATATTTCACCCTGTAAACAGTCTGACGTCCCTTTAAACTCCCGCGGTGCGCTTAAGGCTGCCGACTGGCGGGATAACTCGATCCTCCTCTCTGGACAGCTTGTAAGGCCTCCATGACGCTTCCAATCTGTTGAGATCCGAGCTGCCCTCCCACATTTATGAAAACCTGGTGTGTTTTGTCGTGGTGGTGGTGGGGGGGGGACACTCGTAAACGGATTTTTTAGCTTTTTCAGCCACTGCGCCTGACCCCCAACTCGGGTCTACTTGACTCTACCTTGCCACCGGGCCGAGGAGGGTCAGGGAGATGGGAGTGAGACAGATGTGCATCAAGTCTGTTGTCAATATAAACAGACGGTGTTGATTCAGACCTGGAGAGGACTCCGGACCCGATGGTCTCTCGTGTTCTGGGACTAAACCCAGCTGGATAATGCCAATAGAAGCGAAGAGACGAGTCCCAGGAGGCAGTCTTAAAGGAGACACGATCGATGGGACAAGAGCTTTATTAGCCTGACGTTTCGGATTCCTGCTCGAATCCATCATCAGAGACAAAAGCAGATACGGGTGGTCCATGCACAAGGGACTGCAGTATTTAAAGGATGCATCCGCCATGCTACCGCATGCCTATGAATATTCACGGCTCTGCCCTTCATCAGGCATCCTTGCACGTGTTTCACGACGCGAATGTCGGCCATCAAACAGCCATCACACCATTGCAAGGATGCCTGATGAAGGGCAGAGCCGTGAATATTCCCACGCAGGCGGTAGCATGGCGGCTGCATCCCACAAATACTGTAGCCCCTTGTGCATGGGCCATCCGTATCTGCTTTTGTCTCTGGTGATGGGTTCGAGCAGGAACCCGAAACTTCAGGCTAATAAAGCTCTTGTCCAAGCGATCGTGTCTTCTTGGACAATGATTGTTGGTCACTTACCCAGCGGGTGCAGGCCACGGGTCGTCCACATTCACGGCGCAATGGCCTCCGAAAGCGTCTAAACTAACCCTGATACTAGTCAACAGAAATGCCAGGAATTTCAAGTCCCTTTCGTTTGCGCTGTGTCCAGCGAATCGGCGGCGACCCTTACGCTGCTGCTGCTGCTGCTGCTGCTGCTGCTGCTGCTGCTGCTGCTGCTGCTGCTGCTGCTGCTGCTGCTGCTGCTGCTGCTGCTGCTGCTGCTGCTGCTGCTGCTGCTGCTGCTGCTGCTGCTGCTGCTGCTGCTGCTGCTGCTGCTGCTGCTGCTGCTGTTGAAGCATTGCGTCGGAAGGGAAGGTAGTTGCATACAGAGAGAAGTGCGCCATACAAGCGGAGAAAGTACTTACCACAGAAATCCTCCATTGTAATTCTGTGACAGGCGCAGGTCAGGGTCAGCCAAAAAAACGATGACTGATGAGGTCAAGTCAAGTGTTTCAGGTGAGTAGGCGCACAGTCAGCTCATACGTCAGAAGCCGGGTTGCCCTCCAGAAAACGAAACATGCAAAGCTGCAATGCTGGTTCCCCAGCTTCCTCTCATCGCACCCCCCCCCCCCCCCGAACAGTTGGCAATGCAGCTGCGCCCGAACCATGTGGGAACCAAACTCTGACAGAAACCCTGTGACGACGGAACCAGTCTGTTAGGTAACGTAGCTGCGGGCTACCCCAGAAATCCACTCGTGGCGGATGGTGTGACCTTCAACAGGGACTAGTTGTGAAGTATGCAGACCCTCGGACGTGGTCAGTAAGAGGCCGCGGGTCGCGCAGCGGAAATACCTCCAGGTGTGGCTGGACACTGACTTAACAAATTAGTTACCCGTAAAGAGGTCACACACTGCGTCGGGGTCAGATGTGGTTATGTTGCCCCACCTGAGGAAAACAAACCCCGACCACCTGTAATACAGGACCGGAGTAATGGGGGTTTTTAGAGGTGGGGCCGGGGAACGCACAGGCGGCGAGGTCAACTAGTTGTATGCAAAAAAAGCTATTGGGAATGCGCGGTTGTACTTTGGGTGGATCGCAAATAGTTGTTATTACCCCAAACCCTAGCTCTAACCCCTAATCACTAACCGCAGCTCCAATAGGTGGGGTTACATAACCACATCTTACCCGCGTCGGTATTAAGGCATGAGGAATAGTGCCCACTAAGGCATCGTCTGCCATTCCCATACAGTCCCATAACCCTAAACTGCTGTACAGCTCTGGAGGGAGGAGAGCGGAGACAACCGGCGTCGGATTCAAAAACCACGGCAAACCATACCTCCGCCAGACCACCTCAAGCGACCACTGTCCAGTGAGTCACGGCTCTGTCAGACTTTTTCAGGACTGTGACTGGCCTTACCGGACAAGAGAAGTCCCATCAACAACGGCAGTGTCAACTTAAACTACTCCTACGGGAAAAAATGATTCCCTGCCAAAAAAACAACAGCATCACTGTTGTCACAGAGTGGTGGCTTGAAAGACTGCCAACTGAAGGGCTGCTTCGGTTCTCAGAAGCGGGAGTCAGGTGGCAATGGCGCCTACCAGATGTGTCAAGTCCTGTCAACGTGACATTCCGACGAACGGAGTCTGGCGTGTTTGCGCGCTGCGGGATCAGTGTGTGCGTGTGCGGAACTGGAAGGGAGGGGACTATTCCCTTATCACCTCAACTCACCTCGCAGGGTTTAAGCTCCTTTAAAAAGGTGCTAGCGTACTGTAAAGACAACCTCATAGGAATAGATAAATTAAAACAAAGGAATAAGACGGGGTATGCAATTAATAAATATTCATGTGACTGGAGGAAAAAAACGAAAAATGGCGGCTCAATTTCAAAAGCCCGCCCGACGCTGCACCAATTCGGCCATTTTTGTCAATCAAGGCTGGTGTATAAATTGTAAGCCCCTGTTTTCATATTCTGGTGATTTAATTGATGTAATTGCTGTTATCTGTAAGCCCCATTTGTTAAATAGCTTTAAGGGTATTATATTTGTCAGTATTTACATCCCCCCTTCCACAAATGAAGGCTCTCTGGGCCGCTTTTTTGACTTCCTCACACAAAAACTTGCTTCATTATCCTCAGATCATCTTATTCTTTTGTGCGGTGATTTTAACCGTGTGAGTTTTCGGCCCATTACCCTTCTGGGTTTTGATGACCTTGTTTCATTCAATACACGGTCTGATGCCCCTCTTGATCACATCTTGACCAATTACCCAAAGCTTTTTTGTATTAAAAATAGAGCTCCACTCTCCGGGTCTGATCACTCAGTGCTACTAGGACTTCCAAAAGTCTATTCCACCTCTAAGCGTCAACTGCTTACAAAACCCGAGAGGAAAATTACTGTTCGAGACACATCCGTACATAAGATCCACTTACTGCAGAGTTCAATTACTAGTACCATCCCAACTTTTCTAGCACTACCAAATGCTGAATTATGCTCTAATTATCTTACGCTATTTTTGAATCACATTTTTGATATTTGTTGTCCCCGTGAAACTGTTATGGTCAGGCCTGACAGAATCTCCTCACCATACCTCAAACACTTGAGACGTCGCAAAGAAGCCTTCTACAAACTAGGTCAGCGTGACAAGGTGGAGGATATCAATGTTTTAATAAAGAACGAAATTGCCAGACTTAACGGTTTATTCGTTAGTCAACTTTTTTCTACTTCATCCACCCCCTCCTCTCCTTTTCCTTCTGCTGAACTGTGGAGGAATCTCAGGCGTCTCACTGGTCAACGTAATATACTTGAACCCATTGACGTAGATTTAAACTCTTTAAATCGGAATTTTATCTGTACTTCTAACGACTCCCCTTCTCGCATAAACGAAATTTACCTACCACCATGTGACTTTACTCCTGTGACTGTGAAAACAGTGGAACAACATCTCAAAAAGATTCGCAGGTCAACGGCGGCTGGGCCGGACGGTATCTCTCCTTTTCTCCTTAAGTCTTGCTGTTCGCAGATAGCTCCCGTCTTGACCCACCTTATTAATCTATCCTTCATAGAGTCCAAGATTCCTGACGCCTGGCGTACAGTAAGAATTACTTTAATCCCTAAAAAATCTTTAACTTTTGCTCCTAAATCTTTCCGTCCTATTGCCTGCTCTTCTGCACTCCTGAAACTTACTGAACGAGTTGCATTAGATTCCCTTAAGTACTCCTCCGTCAATTTTTCTGATCCTCTACAATTTGCATACAAGGCAAAGCGTAGCACCTTGGATGCTGTTGCTTTAGTTGTTCATTCAGCTTTGAGAGACTTAGACAAGGGATGCCGTGCATATGCATGTGCTTTTCTCGACTACTCATCCGCCTTCAACACTATTCCGCGCCAACTCCTCCTGACCAAAGCAGCTGCGTGCGACACTCCGAGCTGGGTTGTCTCTTGGCTTAGAGATTATTTTTCCTCCCGCACTCAGTTTGTCCAGTCGGGAAAGAGAAAATCTTCTATTCTTCCAAATGATTGTGGAGTTCTACAAGGTTCCATCTTATCCCCTCATCTTTTCTCCCTACATACTGATGATTTGAGATCGCCAAACGACTGCCTGTATGTTAAGTATGCTGATGATATGGTTGTAGGCCACCCACTCAAAAACCTGACTCACCTACAGTCTTTAAAGGATGGCTTAGATCACGTCTCCGCATGGTCTTCGAATAATGGACTCCTACTCAACAATCAGAAATCAGTACAGTGTGTGTTTCGATTGCGACCCTCTCCCGTTCCTGAACCTTTGGATATTCTTCCCAATGAGGTATCTTCTTTCCGGTACCTAGGTGTTACTTTATCCTCAAATCTCTCTTTCTCTCTTCATATGGAAACCCTTTTAACAAAAATTCAAAAACTTGTTTATTACATTCGTCGTCTACGTTCATATCACACACCCCAGTCCTTAATCTGGCGATTCATAGATGGCTGTATTCTTCCACTCATTCTTTATTGTTCTCCAGTTATTTTTCCAGCTTTACTTAAAAAAGATCTAATCATTTTTAAACGTGTCATTCGAATGCTCGCCTCTGCTGCTGGTGTTTTCTATCATATTTTAGTTGATATCATCGTGCAGCGACACTTCAACTCGGTGGAGCAATTTGCTGACCGAATTCTGAATGACACCGTCCATCCCCTTCATAATGAGTTAATGGCTGCGAAATCCTTACGCCCCACGCGTCGATGCTTCCGCCACATCCGTTGCCGCACTTCGGCCTATCGGAATTCCATACTGCCATTTCTAGCCCGGTATCTCACCTGCAAAGATGTTGAAAAACAAAAACTAAAACACGATCTTGGACCTTAAAGTCCTTTTTTCTTCACATATAATCATGTCCACCTGTCTGTCCAAAACCTGTTAATCTCTATGGTAATCACTGTGTACTGGAGAACCGTTTTTGCTGAAAGTTTTGAAAGTTATTTTCAAAATAAAGCAGTCCTCTCTCTCTCAGTCGCTATGAGCCGCGATTTCCAATGGTGTATGACAGAAGAGGAAAAGTGAGGTCAAACTATTGTGATCCCTCCTCCTTACTAATTAACTTGACGTGTTTTTTAAATTATCCCGATGTGTCAGAAGTGGTAGTTTAGAAGGTTGCAAGTTGGCAATATAATTCGGTTGCCACTGAGGGCCAAAAGCTGCTCCTTGCTGTGGCCTCATTGCAACTCGTATCGGGGCGATGCCCAACTCCAGTCATCTCGAGCTTGCCTCCTCACCAGGTCGCGGAAATCCTCCTCGCGGAGTTCGATGTACAAATCATCATGTCATTCCTAGCTTTCCATGCCCCACATACAGTGCGTGACCTATCTCATGAAATGTTGGCCGAAATTCTGAAAGGTGTTTTCGATTAGGACGGATTACTTAGGTGGAATTGTAATTTTGATTAGCATGCAGCATAATCCCTACAGCATTTCGGACTCACCAGGATGTCGGCTTTTGGATGCACTCCTTTCTGACTTTCTGCAGAAATCGCAATCTGCAAAAACATGACTGCCTATGTGGCATGCATTTTTCGTATTGATTTTTGATGCTCTTACAAATTCAAATATATTTTATAGAAAAAGTGCACAAAAATATGCCTTCTTTTACTCGTTCGGTAAAAAATCACCCTGTCTTCATATTTTATACCCGAAGAAAGTGTGTATTTAGGTTTTTAAAAGGTTTCTAATTACGGGATTCTCAAGACCATGCGATGTCCATATAGACAACATCCTACATGACCGTTTACCAAGGCTTCGCATCAAATGTACAACACAGTCCGGATCCATGGCAAAATTTTATGAACCCTATATGGTATCTTCTTAAATTCATAGAGGAGTATGTGATCTTCCTTACGCGGGAAGCATGCACCTGGTAAACTGAAATCGCT